GAATACAGTACAAATAAATGCAAGAACACTCAAGACAGAGAAATACATAAATAAATAATATAATAGTATATTTCGACATGTAAACCACAGAATAACAACGAACACATAAAATTAATTTACGAAAGTACACAAATACAACATAATAGAATTATGAACTGTGCGTCACACGAATGTTTCAACGACACAAAAAGTGACGTCACAGGTAAATTTCAAAAAATTGAATATAAAATCGGGATTAAGTTTATAATGGTGTTATTTGATGTATTTTCTAACAAATACAAGAATATTAATATAGAATTGTGTTATTAATGGTGTACTTAATTGTATTTTCTAACCAAGTCAGTTTTTCTTCTAAATCAAACTGTGTAAAAACAAATAAATCCTGTACATATAGTTGCTTTAAACGAAAGATCATACAAATGAACTAAGTGATTAATTATCTTTACTTTTACATACATATAGAAATTAAAAATAGAATCAAAATCACAAACGATAAGACATAAAACAATATCCAATCAGAATTACAAATAAAACATCATAACTAAATATATGAATGTTGGATGTACAACTACCGAGATACGTCTAATAGCAATGCGGATTCACACTCAGCAAAACTGTCATATTCGGGAATAGGTCACGTTCGGTACATATAAGCGGGAGGTTTGGCTAGCCATAAAACCAGGTTCAACCCACCATATTTCTAAAAATGTCCTGTACCAAGTTAGGAACATGGCAGTTGTTATCAAATAGTCCGTTTCTATGTATGTTGGCGATTGTTTTTGTTGCAGTTCAGTGTTTCTGTTGTTCCGTTGTTTTTTCTCTTATAGTTAATGTGTTTCCCTCGGTTTTGGTTTGTGACCCGGATATGTTTTCGCTTAATCGATTTATGACTATTGAACAGCGGTATACTACTGTTGCCTTTATTTAAGTTAAGTTTTGTAATGATTTTTTGCCTCACGTATTTTCGTTTTAGTGTACGTTGGAACTTGCAGATTTAAATTTTATTCATTTATTTCGACATAACGTCTTTATTATAACATTTTGACACGATTCCTTAAAAGAATTTATCTAGTTATCATGGAGCGGAAAATAAATTGACGTCTTTTTTAATTGCTATATAAACACCAAGCCCATCTATTGTTTGACACTTGTTAGATAAACGTGAGTTAGATTTTTCAAATGTTGGAGAACCGTGAATAAACCACTTCAATATTAAAAGGTTAATCTCCATTTTAAAAGAAGGTTTCCTTGGAATTGTATTATTTTGGGTGTTAAAAAGTAAGTATATGAAAGTTAAAAATTGTATGAAATTACTTACAGTAATCAGATGGGGCGCAACACATACACTAAGAAAATCCCTAAAGGAGGCATTCACTATTTAAGCAGTGGTAGGAATGAGCCGCTGGAATAGGTAACATTTTCAATTTCTTGATATATAATGAGAGCGAGAAATTAAGATGAAATATATGCCAAGGTTACTAATTAAATCACAACTATCTTAACTAATCAAATGTCGATTTTTGTCCTCTCAGATGCAATTAAAACAACAGTCGTAAATCCTCAGATATTTTTCAAATATATCTCTATCTCCATGAAATAGTGAAAGCATGATAGCTATAAGAATTTTTGTTTAAAAAATACATGATAGGATATCATTGTGTTATTCAAAAATATCAAGAGGGTGGAGTACTCAATCTGTCAACTGCTCACCCCTAACACTATAAAAGGTCAACCCCCCCCCCCCCCCTCCGAGTTATTTAGTGGGGTCTCGGAGTTCGGTATTTTTGATAATACATTTTTTATACCGTAACATTTGCCACGATACTTCAAAGCAACTTATCAAGTTATCATGGACATTTTTTTAATTTACTGCAACCATTAGACGTAAAGCTTTATCTTATGAGAAGATCTCCATGAAATGATCTTTTTTGGTTTCACTTCAAAATGATACTAATTGGAGATCACTGAAGAATTATATAACATTAAATTATGTCATCTTAATGTAATTCCCGTAAAATGTTAACACGATACCTCATAGAAATGATAAAGTTTTATCGTAGACATGAAAAGAAATTGACGTTTAACCTAAAGTTTTATAGGGATTAATTGCTCTTGTTCAAGTGATTTTTTTCTTCGCTCCATAAAGGTCCCAATCGAGTACATTGAACAATCTATTTATTTCACGTTTAATGTAAAAATCGAGGAAACTAATCCAGTGATTGTAGAAAGCAAACGAAATTGACAGTACTTGATTATATAAAGGTGAAGGTTTGTCTGTACTTCTTAGAAGCAATGTTTCTATGTTCCTTTGTTAAAAGGATCTATTTGGGGGTAAACTACAAAATAACAGTATAATAATATATTTCACTTTTAAATCCAATGTATTTCTTTTCCATATGATAAACTCATTCCTGTAATACGAATCCTTGATTTATGTTATTATATTCATACAGTAATTTGTTCTGGATATATTGCTTCCTCTTTCTTTGAAATCAGTATTTCAAGAAGTACTTATGAGATGTAATATGATGTTTTAACGTTAATGTTGTACCTAATATATGATGTAGCTATGGCTGATGAATCAATTAACCCAATGATAATGGTTAGCTACATTCGAGAATTAATGATGCTTAACTCAACTTTTATCTTTTTCTGGTATAAATTCTTGGTTGGTAGAATTGGTTAATATTTCAATCGTCTGTTAGCAACAAGAAACACGTATTTCAAGATTTGAGGAGTGATTGATAGAAAGGCATTGTCTTGCGAAAATTTTGTCTATTTAAATGCATGTCAAAATACGTATAAATAGCATTGCATAAAAAAATTAACAATGAAGGTGGACACCCTTATCAGGACAAAGGAAATGTAGATAGTTATGTATATAAATAAAAATGACTCAGCCATTATATTTCTTTTCCGACTTTCAGCTAAAAATCTTTTTACGGATTAATTAGTCAAAATAATTATGAAAATAATATATATCATTGCATATCATATGACATAAAGTATTTTCTTTTAGATGGTGAAATGGCGTTCCCTGGACGCACCAGAAGATGTAGTCAAGAAGAATATTGGGACATTTCATTATGAAGATAATTATGCAATTACACTTTTTTTTGTATACAATATGATATTCATATTTAAAACTATTTAATAAAAACATAGAACATATTAAGTTGTACTTGTATAAGTCCTTGGCGTAAACTAAACTAAACTAAACAATCAAACATTCAAACAAAATTTAATATTATTTCACCAACAAAGATTAACCAAACAAACTTTGAATTTATAATGAAAAATCGGTAACTTAATGTTTAAAAGAATTAATCTGTAATACAATAAATCAGGTTGACCCGCGATACCAAACTCCAACTTGTAAAATTCCATCTAATTAAGGATGTTTGCTACTCTGTTTCAAAATAACACGCGTTTTAAAAGATTGTTTTACATCAATTGTATATAAATAAAGGAACTAAACAAGCAGAAAAATGAAAGGTTTTTGCCCTTGTTTTTGAGATTAACGTCATTGAGAATTTGGTGGGAAATGATTCTCTCTAGATTTTCTTAATTAATGTTAATAACATTAGCATATATTTTCTTTCAAAAACTATGAAAAAATAACAACGAGTTTATAATATTTTTTTAAATAGCTGTCATACAGTATGTAATAAAATTATGGAAAGAAAAGAAGGGGTTAGTGGGCAAAATTTTTAATGGATTTAAATATGGAAACAACCAGCGGATTCCGAATATCTGACATAAAGTCAAAAACAAAGACCAGCGAACATCCTTGATACACATCACGAGTCATTCCCAGCAAACACAAAAACATCTTTAAAATGTTTTTAAAATGTTGTGTCTAATGTCATGAAAATATCACAAAAAAACGTGAGAAAAACATTAAATGTATGGTAGAATATATATCGCTAAAACGTTTTCTAATATATTTTCTAAAATATTTGCATAATATAATTAAAATGTTGTAAAGAAATATCATGATAATGTTAAAAACAATGGCGTATAAAACATTTTGATAATCTTTTAAAAAATATTTTCTAGAAATATTTTCTGAAAGTTTGAAAAACATCATGAACATCAAATAATGTTATAAAAATGTTTTTGGGATGTTTTCTTGCAAGTGAGACTGTGCCTAAAAAATGTTTTCAAAATGTTTTTGGTTGATATCTAGATCATATCAATATAAAAATTTCTATACTTTTGATTGAGTTTCCTGCTTTTTTAAATACAATGTAACAAATCATTAGTTAAATTAATTTATACACAGTGATTAATTCTATATACAAACAAGAATAAATCAGTTGTTTTGCTAAGCATATGAAATTCACAATTCAAAGTCTCTAAAAACAAGAAGTATCTACAAATTTTGACACATCCAAAATGGCAGACACAACTCATCATGGTCAAGCCACTTACCAAATATGAAGTCATTCTGTTCATCAGCATTACTAATTAAAGTAATGAAAAATTTGAGAACATTCAACATTTTGAAATACAATGTATAAGCAAACAGGAAATAGGTGCCAGATACAAAAATGTTCACACATCACAGTTCATCACTATCAAGCAGCTCATTAAATATGAACTCATCTTGATCAGCAGTTTTGGGAAAAACAGTGATGAAAATACTTGTTGGACAAAATCCGACAAATATAGGTGGACAGACGACAGACAGTGCAAGAAAGCCCACATTCCAACCACAATGGTATAATGTTTAGTTTTTCACTCTCAACTTTTATTACTTATCTTATACACATCATGCATATGTCAACCTGAACATGCATGACATATATGCCATTGGACATTATGCAAACATTATACACATTTTTAAGTTCAAGTTACATTGACTAAAACTTGTGTCCCAAATTCAGATTTTTCAATACAACTTCTCTTTCTAAACTAAAAAGCTACACTTCTAATAGGGTTAAATCTTAAGTCAATAATCATTGATAATTGGCTGAAGAGATGAGAACAAAACACCATTTTACATCAACTATTTGATTTATTTAAGAATACATTGAAAAAGTCAATCAATTGTCTTATTCAAAATCACTTGGAATGTCTTGTAGTGTCTTATATCTTTTTCTTGCTGTGCCATGCTTCTGAAAAAAAAATTAATCTTACATTCATATATAAACTTCTTGCATTCCTTTATCATAGAACGATTCACGTTGACTGAAGGATATACATCCCCTCCCCTTTAAAGTTTTGAAACAAATAACAATGATAGTCTGTCGGAAGGGGACGATAAATGGCTGACCGTGTTAAGAGAGAGCAATATGCCACGCTGAACTTCATTTAGTTATTAAAAAAAAAACACATAAAAAACTTTAGACTAGACATGTGTCCAGTCAAGAGTCTTATTTCATTATACTCTTTGATTGTTGTCCATCATATCTTTTTTCTTTTATTGTTTTGTATAAATCAGGCTGTTGTTTTTCTTGTTTTTTTTAGTTTTCATTAAATGCATTGTATCATGTAGGGGTCTTTAAAAGCCCTGGTACATAATGTCATTAAACATCTTATTGTCCTTTTTAAGTGTTAAACTCTGTAGAGTGACATAGTTTATCACTTGTCATTTGTATCTAAGGGCATATGATACAGTCCTAGAAGTATACTATAGGCACATAATAACTTATCGAAGTGTTACGCATTGTTTTCACAATGATGATAATAATATAACTTAACTTCCGAGAAACACACAGATGTCATTAAATGAGTTGTTTATATGTATTTGAAATACTTCAAAGGAAAGCAAATATGTTGTTTATGAAAGCACACTGTTGGACTAAAAGATTGATTTAAATAAACAACTTGTTTCTATTTTGTCACAAAAAAATAATTTATTCAAATATCCAGATATCTTTTCTGTATTGTATGCCCTTAATCTTGAATGTAATGCATTGTTTATGCTAAATATTTGAATTAAATATGGAATAACAGTAATTCTGTATGAAAATCTTACTTCAAAAAAAAATTCTCCTGAAAGGTTGTAGACATTCCAAAGAACCTGCGCCACTTCCAAATTGTAAACCTGCATATTGAACTTGTCCTTTGTGGCTTTTCTTTTAGCTCCTGTTAAAAAATAAAAGATACATTGTATGTACATTGTGTGTATGAAGCAATAAATATAATTTTAAGCAACAGTTTATATTATCTTGCTTGTACTGAAGTCTTACATAGTCTTTGTAATGTTCATTAAGCTGTTAAGGGAAATTTAATTTACTGTTTTGCAAATACATACATACACTGATTTTACTAGAAAAAAAAATCTCCATATTCAAATGGTGCTTATATTAGTGTTATTGTAACTTGTTTGTGTGCCTCGGAAACAAGGTATTGAGTCATGCTTATTGCAATAGTTGTTGTTGGTTTAAGTCTGTCAAATTTCTTTTTCATAATGTGTATTTAATGTAGGCAGTTAGTTGTTTTGTTTCAATTGTGTTGAGAAAAAGTTAACATTTGTTTGTCAACGCTTCAAAGTGGACTATATGGCATTGGTTTTCTCAGTTTTGAAAGCTGTACAGTGACCTATAATTTCTTTTATCCAAGCCATTTAAATTCTGGTGGATAGCTGTCTCATACACCTTATCGCTATTTCAGTATTTGGAAATCTGTCCCGCTTGAACTTTTTACGTCAGCATACGTCATACAATAATACACCTTATCGCTATTCCCGCTTGACCCGAGAATCTATCCTGCTTGAACTTTTGACGTCAAACAACAATCACTTTTCCATTGTGGCATCAGATATTTTTTATGATGACGTCAAAATTTTAAGGGAACTTGTGACAGTTGTGTGATGTCCAGTAATGGCGGACAAATAGCGATAAGGTGCATTACTTTCAATTGTGGTGTCAAATATTTTCTAATATGACGTCAACATTTTACGGGAACTTTTGTGATGTCCATGGCTAGTAATGGCGGACAAATAGCGATAAGGTGTATTGGCAATCAAACACACAAGCCACATATCCTTATAATTTTTTTTATATCAATGAACAAATTCATAATTGGTGTACGTAGATGCTTGAACAGTGGCGGATTTAGGGCCCCCGACCCCCTTATGGAGCTACTTATAAGATAAATGTATAGACTATTTACAAGTATCACTCCAAACGTTTGCTTGCCTTGGGCAGGGGCCCCCCTTTTTTCAAAACCTTGATCCGCACCTCCAGAAACAGATGTAATTTGGTTCCGATTATGATTGAACACACACAATGAATGCACAAGTTCATCTCAACAGATTAATCATTCTTACCAAGTGAGTATATATCGCGTAACAAACAATTTTCTTGGCTCTCTTTGTTGATATCCTGTCTTCGTTTCGAAATTCAAATTTCAAAATCATTTCCGGTGATAAAACAAAAGTCGATTCCGGAAAAGGTCGGTTTTCCGTAAGGCATATAGACGATACGAAAATTGAACTTAGTACAGTTACATGTACTTTTCATTTCTTAATTTCTAAAATATACACGAACGAAATGAATAAACATTAAAGAAAGGTGATTGTTTATTAATACATTATTGCTTAATTTAATGTTGACTCTTTTGAATTTTAATATAAGAAGGAATAAAATCTGACTTCAAGGATCTTCAAGATATCAATTAAGGATTTCAACCATAGTATCTTGCTTGTCATGATATTGATGAAATGTAGTACTATATTTTATCCTGAGAAAAAAAACGAGCTAATTCCACAAAACGTTGTGTGTGGGGTTTTGAATAAAGTTTAAATAAAATGTTATTTTTATATCCGTAAAATGTTGAATAAAATATCAGTAAGACTATTAAGTAATGTGTATGTCAGAATATTTTATAGAAAACATTTAGCTGATATTTTTCAGATGTTTTATGTAAAACATTTTAATTTACGTTATAAAACATTTTATGCAAATAGCAAAACTATATTTTCTGTAAAACATTATTTTGCAGAATGTTTTTTGGATATTTGGAAAATATTTACTTTAAATGTTGTTAAAATATAAAATACCAATTGAAGAAAATATTATTTTTTTATATTATAAAATATCTATGGGATATTTTAGAACAATGTTTGAGAACATGAATAAAAGATATTAGCAAATAATATTTTGTTAATGTTGTAAAAAAAAATTTACTTATATGTTAGAAATAAAACATTTCAAAAACAATAAAATAAACATTTTTTTTTATGTTTAAATGATATCTTATTGAAATATTTTGTGAGAGACGTCCATATGACATTTAAAAAATGTTTTTAAAATGTTGTGTGTTTGCTGGGTTAAGAAAAGGGCATGCATCAAATAAAGGACAAGGAGACAATATGTATATATAACCATGATAATTGTTATGTACAATTGACGTCAACAATGATGTCAACAGCAGTAATTGACTGTCAACATAATAGACTAATGTTAATAATTGTATCAAAATGTGGGATTTTTGAAAATAATGTTTTTTGTTTTTTTAGTATGTGTTTCACTAAACTTATATACTAAGTAACCTTTTCTGACGGACGTGGATACTTAGTAATTATATTTATATCTGTATATGAACTAGTATACTATATACTCGAAATGGTTTTTCACTAGAATCACAAAACAAAAATAAATAAAAAATGTTTTGTCATATCGATATATCTAACGCCGTCACTTGCTAACAATAATATTTCAAAACTAAATACATCTTTATGCTTTTGTATTCAAAATCTAAATTTTTACTCATTAGCTTCCCTGGCGTTTTGGTTCTTAAATACCAATGATGCCTCTATGGTGTTTTTTTTTATGTATTGAGGATTAATTATGGAAAAATTTTCTCAACTGCATTTGTTTTTTGAAAAAGCTTATGTATGGAAATGAACGTCAAACGATAAGACAGGATTTTAAAATGAATTGTTTTATTTGTGTACAAACTGACATAGTGCAAAAACAAATATCTTTCGAAAAAAAGTTGGTTACCATGATAAAGATCAATGTGGCATTACATGGCTGCTTATTGAGACGCTCCCCATTACATACAGAAGAATACATTATCACAAAAGAGACGAGCATCTATGAGAGATAAGTTAAACACCTGAAACTAATGACATTTTCTACTATAAACCAATTGTATTAGAAAGCGGGCGCTAGGAAATCTCATTGCTTCAACACTAAATATATAGACCCTATATACTTAAATATTGTATTTGATCTCTTCAAATAAAATTGAGAATGAAAATGGAGAATGTGTCAAAGAGACAACAACCCTACCAAAGAGCAGAAAACAGCAGTATATTTTAAATGTATGCCATCCATTTATTTCAAAACATGTCCTTCGCGGAATTTGAAGAAAACATTTACCGGTCGTTTGTTCAGTATTGTGAATGTTTCAGCGGTAATAGTCAAACACATTTATGTATGAAATGATACTGATATGTTTTAGCAGATAAGGACTTGTTTCTGGAAATTTGTTTAAGCACACATGCATTTATTCCCTAAAAAGGTAAAAATTCGTGTGCGTCGTTGGTTTAAAAACGAAAAGCCATTACTCAAATAGTACGAACAAAACAAAAAACTGTTGTAGTTACATTTTTTCCAAATTTATACTATGAAAATTTTTGTTGCTTACTTTATATGGGAAATTATCCCATGGATTGTATGGCTGAAGAGGTAGGTGAGCATATAATTATGTGATTCCATAATTGATGAAAAATTTAAATCAGATTATGAAAATGAAATATTTTTAATACCAAGACATTACTGTTTTATCTGTTGGGCGTTAAGCAAGAAACAATCAATCAATCTTTTGATGGAAGATGTATAGTCACTCTTATTGGATTAATCCAAAGGGTTGTTACATTGTAACGTAAATGTCAATTACAAAACTTGTAATAGTCACAGAAAAGGGTCAACTAATTAAGGCGTATCACACTTTATTTGCCATGACGGAAAAGCCATTTCTTCTTGTGAATTTAAGGGTATCAGACTATAGGACACGTATCAATATAATTCCGAAACGATAATAGATACAAAAAGCCAAATTTCAAAAAATCTTTAATATGTTAGAAGACCGAAAATATTTGACGTTTTTATAGGAGGTATAATTTCCATGGACTGTTTGGTTAAAGCCGTACTTGGTTGTATCAAATAACAGTCCATCCTATGTTACACATTTTGGACCTATGATTTACGATCCTTCCGTTAAACATCCCCACCAACCGATCTGCCAAGAAATTGACTCATGACCATAGAGTTCTTGCACAATGTATCTGTATAGAATGGTGTATACATTGTCAGGATGTAGTCAGTAATGATATATGTACACAGACGAACTACTTTTAGCAATATTAAAATACTTGTTTTATGTTAGTGTTTACCTTGCAGACTACAAAGTTGCTTGTATTTAATTCCGGAAATGGAAAGCTGTTTTGGAAAAAAAGTAGATATTTGGGTAATCGCAATTTATAATTGAATTTGACTGTAGGAATAATCGTCATCGATTGTCGAGTAAAGAGGGAAATATGTTACGTGAAAGGAATTATATATATATAGGTATTTAATTTGTTTTAACGTATTGTCATTTTACGAAAAAGTTGTAAATCAAAATACTTTTAAAATATGAAAACACTTAGGTATAACTGATTTATTCTGATCTTGTAACATTACACTAAACATTGTATATACAAACGATAAATATAATGGTTCACTGTCAAACTACAAAACAGTTGCCTATTTTCAAAATCTCGGTCTTTAAGAGTTTTGAGTTATAAATAATTCACAAATTTAAATATTTATTAGAGATAATGGCTGAAAATAAATATTTGGCTGATTATAAACATGTAATTTTTTAGCATTGTAATAAACATAAAACTACAATATTTTGAAGCCTTTGATGATTCATTAATAAGATAAACATTGATATTCTTGTCAGATTACAAAGTCGACGAAAGACAGTTTAGCCGCGTGCGCAAAAGTACACAGATTTTATTCAAAATGTATCATATCGTGATTTATAAACCTCTCGTATTACGTGGAGAACAGGAATAAAAATATATTAATAGTTCTGTATCGAATTCTCTTGATATTGACAATTCGAAATAAATGCAATTATTGTCGTACAGGGACATACAGTAACACTGTATTTACACTAATCGCTTTTTGTAATATATATATATATAATAGCAATTGACCTTAATTTGAACACACAATGTCATGCAAATATACTGTTTCAAATTTGAGTCAACCATATGTTTTCTTACAAATAGGTTTGTAAAATCATATACCAGCAGTTTCAGAACAACAACAAAAAGTAACAAACCACAGTTGCTTCACATAAAACTTCAATCAATATAGTGGTTTGTCTTCTCATGGGATTTGCTCCCATAACTTCCGGTCTATAGAGAACCTGGTGAAGGTTATTCCAGAAACACGTGTCATGTTAATATTGTATTGGTTTTATTAAACGTGACAATATGTCTTAATCCAATTATTATATTGTTAGTATATACTTTTAAGAAAGGCGATGTTCGTGCACAAGTCCAATTAATAATGAGATGAAATATAAGAGATGAGGGTATGTACCAGATGTATACATCATTAAGACAGAAACCAACCGGCGGATTATTCTAGAACATTTAGTTTAATTGGTTCATTGATTGATTATTAATTTTGGACTGTACAATGACAATAATTTCATTTTTTATTCATCATGAGAACATATGATTAATCAATTCAATATGTTGATTCTGAAAGGCAGGTCGACGGGCATGAAGGGCGGGCAGCTTGAACTGCCACTGGAAAAAGAGGTATTGGAAAAAGGTTAAATAACAAAAATACCGAACTCAAAGGAAAATTCAAAACGGAAAGTCCCTTATGAAATGGCAAAATCAAAAACTCAAACACATCAAACGAACGGAAAACAAATGTCATACTCCTGACTTGGTACAGGCATTTCCTTTTGTAGAAAATGGATAGGGACCGATATTTTGTCTTGCAGCAGGCCGCCTCCAGACCCCTCAAAAGGGATGTTTAAAGTTTTCTTAAACGTTAAGAGAGCATGCCATTCCCCCTTCACGGAACATCAGATAAAACGTCCACATTCCGATCGGACGAAGTTGTGTATTTATACACGTAAAAAACCAAACAGCCACTCCACTTTAATAATTAATTTAATGATTGACACGGCTGTTCATATTTTTATACCCCAGACGTCTATACATGTACTTATGTTGTTTTAAGTAATAAAGATATAAAGTAAGAAAAATAAATGAAAGAAAGAAAGAAAAAAAAAGAAAGAAAGAACAAATAATATTGAAGTAAATCCATAACTAAATAAAGAAAGAAATAGATCTAGAGATTAAGAAACAAATACAGCTATAAATGAGCTGAGAGAATCTGTTCTTGTGTAAAATTATGCAAAATTGTTCTAGAGTAG